CTCTCTCTCTCTCTCTCTCTCTCTCTCTCTCTCTCTCTCTCTCTCTCTCTCTCGGACATCGTATAATTTGCCAGGCCTTTATGTTTATTGATTTTGGCTAGCGCCATGTACTTTTGGCCTGGCTTATGGACTTGGCTTTAACGACTGTCCGGCTAACTAAAGCCCATTGCCACGCCTGAGTCCCTGGAGTGCATAAAGATTTGGCATTTGGATGAAAACATCTGTTAAGACTGTTAAGAATGACGCATAGAAAAGGAATGGAACAACTTAATGCTGTCTAGAGCTAAGCTATAAAAAATAACGAGAGAGAGAAAACGAGAAAGATAGTCATAAGAACAAGTCAAATTAGCTTTAGGCTTTTCATAAAATCTTTAAGTGGAGATAGCAAAAAAACTTTTCAAAAAGTTAGAACAACAAAGCTGATTAGAAAAGGACAATTTGATATCAAAGAAATCAATCCTCAAGAGTAAAGAGATAGAGAGACAGAGAGAGAGAGAGAAAGGCCACTTAAGCCTATTGAATAAGTTTTGATGAGCATGAGATCAGCAGCGTAGAAGATCAACGATTCTTAAAATATGCATAACACTCGCTTTGCATTTACATATTTGTATATGGAATATAAAATATTCCCGATATTATGATAATTGTATACAGATATGTATTCCTAAAATCAAAGCAGATCCCATATACGAATTGGCAGCAGAACGTGTAGCTGGCCTAATTTATTGGCCATAATTTAGTTTTGGGCCATTTCGTAGCTGGTTTCTGCAAAGCTCAACAAAAGTTAACCCGAATCAAGTGATTTGTCTTGGGCTTAGACGGCACTCGAAGGAAATGAAGATTTAGTGGGCTCAGCAATGGGTCTGCCACATGTTGGGGCATGCCACGGCGCAGTGCATGCGGCGCAGCTGTTGGCTTAACCGACAAATTTAATTACAAAACAATAAACGCTGTCCGCCAGGACAATGGACGGCCGACAATAAAAAGGCAAATAAAAATGCCAGGCAATAATTTCATGTGCAGTCGCAAAGAGTCGCGACTTGCAGCAAAAATGCGAATTATTTGCGCAACGTAAATACAACGTGAGGTCCGCGGCCAAGTGCAACACACGAAGCACGGACAAGTCGTGTCAGCATCCGGGGAATGCTGCAACTGGAGTCCCTTTCAGATGCTGATGCTGGTGCTGGTGCTGGTGCTGCCGTCGTTGTTGCAGCACAGAAATTGCAAATCATGCAATTTGTGAGCACTTCGAATGCAATCAGCCAACTGTTTGATTTATGTTCATTTGCAGTTGCCAATTCATGCGCTCCTCTTTTATTCCACTTTTTTTTTTTTTCTTTTTGTATTACTGTTTTTCCATGCACTAATTTTTCAAATCAAAAGCCAAGCCAAAAGCCTGACTCAACGTTAAATTAATCATAGCATAGAGGAGTCAACGTCGTCGTCGTCGTTACAATCAATAACTCAAATCGATTGCAGGAGCTGCAGCGGGCCAAAAGCTAAATACGAGCGCAATTGCCCAGCCTCGACCTCTGGCTGCAGCTGCATAAGACTAGTAATTATACCAGGGCTACCAACATATTAAGACGGGCATGGGAGGGCAGAACCTGATGTGATAAACGAGCGCAGAACGGCCTTTTGTGAGCCATCCTTTTGTTCGGGGCGTTTGCTCCACAACAACTTCATTATGAAATACGCGAATGGGCTTATTTATACACTTGCCAAAGCAGTTGCCTAACTAGTATGGAAATAAACGAGCAGATCCAATAAAATTTCTGATGAAAAGAACTATTCTGGTAGGCATATAAATGTTGATTGGCCGCTGGGCAAACAAAGGCAAAGCTGAACGTGTTTCGCTCCGGATTTTGACTTTCTGTCCACCCATACCAAGCTGGCAAGGCAAACTTTGATATTCCAACTCTCGTAAAGAATAGTCGATCGACTCTCTCTCAGATAACATCAAGGCAGCATTTCACCATATCGTATGCATAACGTATTCGATCGCGCATACAAACCCAAAGTTACACATTTGGTGGGGCAAACATATTTTCTGCAAGTGTATTTCAGCCCGGCAGACCGTAGATAACAGCGTTTTCTGCCTCTCTGTTGTTAACATATGTCAGTTGCAGCTAATTGCATAAAGCGATACGTGCATCAGTTTGTAATTCTATTGGTTACAGCTGAAAACAGGAAATTAGCATACATTTGCTAATTAGTTGCGATTGTAAAAACTTTCAGCGAGACGTGAGCAACGTCTTGAACGCCCGAGAAACCCAACAAGGGACCGCAGCCAGGTACATACAGGGCTGGCAGTTCACAAAGTCACTGCCCACTCGCTTGAAAGTCTGCCTCAAACTCGTATCTCAAGAATGCGTGTGCCTCTTGTGTATTCGTTAGATACTTTTCCTAAAAGGGCCCAGACCAGAAAGCATTTGCAGGCGCCAGCAGCCATTGGGTAGAGTCCGATGTAGATGTGAGTTGTCAGCCAGACAAGTTTATGCAAATGAATTACATATCAAAGAAA